AACTAAAAACAGGTGTCCAGTCAAACAGTTCAAACTCATCTCTGTGTGTCATTGTTTGAATAATCAGGTGCTTTAAGTTGATTCTTGTTCACAGCTTTGGTCGCCCCTGATCTTTTCTTCCTTCTCTTTCAGTTCTTTTCTTCTCTCTTTGTTTTTCTTGAGCGATTTTATCATCAAGTTCTTGAGTCATTCTTTTTTTGTGACTCTCCTTTTCTTTCTTTATCTCTCATTCTTTCTGCTCTACCTTTCTTTTTTCTTGCAACATTTTTCTCTTTAAATAAAATTCTTCAGCTTGTTTATGCTCCTCTTCATATGCCATCTTCAGTTGCTTCATTTGTTTTTTTAAGCTTTTTCCACTAATTTCTTTTCTAAAGTTTCCAATTTCTTCCTGTCATCTTCCATTTGTCTTTTGCTCTGTTGTAGTTTTCTTTCAACTGTTGATTTCTGTTTAATCTCTTCTTTGAGTTTTTCTTCACATTGTTTCAGTTTTGTTGTCAGTTCATTTATTTCTTCTTTATATTTTCTCTCCATCTCGTCTCGTTCTCTGTCTTTTTCTTTCAGTATTTTAGGAAACTCTCTCTTCATGTCGACCTCAGCCTGTAGTAACATGTTGTTGGTGTAACAGTCTCCTCTGTTCTCCTTCACCATGACATCGATCTTCTTCATCAGCTCTTTCACCTGAGTGCGGTCTTTCTTTTTACTGTTATTAAACACATGGAACCTGTTTCCATAGTTTGAAATGAGCTCCTTAAAAGACTCATCACATTCATTTTCTATGTAATCTTCAACTGTGATGTCGTCCATCTCCAGTTTGTCTCCATGAGTCAGAAGAACAAACATGAACCTGTCAACTTCTTTCCCAAATCCCTTTTTTATAAGTTCTAGTGTCTGTTTTTCTTCAGGCGTCAATCGTCCGATCTGCAGCACCAACAGAAAGACGTGTGGTCCTGGAGCCTGCAGACTGATGCTTCTTAATTTTTCCTCATTTCCTTCTTCACATGATGTGGTCGTGTCAAACAGACCTGGAGTGTCCACCACAGAAACACGGCGTCCGTCTATCACAGCCTCTGCTTTCTGACACATTCTGGTCACTGATCTTTGACTCAGTTTTGTGTAAAACTCTTCTCTCCCGAGGATGGTGTTTCCTGAAGAGCTCTTTCCTGTGCCTGTTTTTCCAATCAAAGTAATCCTCAGATCACCTAAAAACATCAGATAATACTACATTAAGTTTGTGGCAATAAAACCGATTAAAACATTTTAATCACATCATCATCATCATCATCAACGTCACTTGAATCATAAACTTACATCTCTCCTGTTGTTTCTTTTGCAGAGCACATATCTTCTCTCTCTGACCTTGTACCAGTGTCTCTGTGGTGAAGCTGTGAGGTTCATTCTTGGTCCTTAAAGTCTCTACAGACTCCAGCAGCTCAGAGACCTGCTGCTGGTCCCTGGGGTTGAATATAAAATATCCTCCTCCACAGATCTGACTCAGCTCCTGGATGTCTCTGTCTCCTGTGACAAACTGAAGCTCATGTGGAGCAGTGGACTCTGAGTCCACAGTGAACAGAATCATAGTGAAGAGAAGGACTCGAGAGCTGAGTGTGTCCTGGAGGGTCTTTAGCTCGGCCTTGTCTTCGTCGGTGAGGTTGACCCAGCGGTAGAACCAGGATGAAGGCATGGACGCCCTCAGGAGCACAGAGGGAGATGCAGCGGAGACACTGCTCCATCACTGTCTCCAGAGGTTCTCCAGACAGAACCGACAGCTCCACCAGAGACACCCGACGCCCACAGACCTCTCCCTCATGTTTAACACACTGCCCTGAGCTGCTCGCTGCAGGGAGATCTGCTCCACCTAAAATGGACTCAGCTGCTGAGCTCTTCCCTGCTCCACTGCTCCCAAAAAGAACCAGGTTCAGAGAGGGTTTGTGTTTTATACCAGAGGCCAAAGTCAGACCTGTGTCTTCCTCCTCAGACACTGGAAAGAGAGAAATTGACTTTAATTATGAACTACAATGGGCAGTGGGTTATTTTTATTTATTTATTGATACTGCAGTTGCTTGTGAGTGTTCAAAGTATCCTAGAGTATATTTTTGATAAGTGCAAAGAAATCTCCCCTTATGAAGTCCATGAAGGTCTGTCCTTAAAGGTTGTATAGAGGATTTTCCAAGGAAAGAGAAATACTGTGATTGTTTGCCTCCTCCTACCTCCTTACACAAAAAGTAATGCTTGTTTATATCATAAATATTCTAAATTCATTATATCAGTGCGTGTGAGGGATTTACTGAACGGATTGCTATTAAAGTGATCTGTCCAGAAGTAATTTAGCGACCAATGTGTCAGTCTTTAGACCCTTCGTCTGCTTCAGTCGCTCCATCGCTGGAAGGAATCTCCAAGAATCACCTTAGTTTGGCTTCGCTCCTTTTCCCCTTCTCTTCTTCTTTCAGCGACCTCAAAAACAGACTTTCTTTTGCAGCAAACTGGTCGTGACTGCAACAAACTGCGAGGAGGCTACAGTTCGAAAGAACTGGTGCGTTGGTTCGAGTAAACAGCGTCTTTCGTAGGTGGAATGTGTGAGAGGCAAACATAAACCATGGAATCCCAGCGCACTGGCAAATCAGTTATGCTAGAAACAGGGAGTTTGAGGTTGCCTCGATATCTGTTAACTATTGTTGATCTGGCCCCACCACATCCACAGTTGATGGATTTTCAATCTTTTTTTTTTTGGCCATTATAATTACAAAGCTGCTGCTTCTTTATAATGATATTTTGAACTTTCATTGACAATTAAAAAAATAATAATAAATAATCCTCCACACAACCTTTAACTGTGTGTTTAAACAATACCAGTGAGTGCGGTGCAGCTTTAATTTCACTTACAGAACGGTGGCAGGACTCCGTAGCTGCCACTGCGTTTAAGACTTTCTTCACCTCCTGTAAACAAAAACACATAAAGAAAAGTTCATATTTAAAGTCCACCTTCATTGAGGAGAGAGCAGCTTTCATCCAGGACAAGCAACACTGATGTTAAAGTGCACTTATGCTAAATTAGAAGTAATTTCACCAAAACAAATTGTTTCATTTCCTGTTTGGACATCAGTAGCAAATATGACACATGTAGAGGTAATTCCATAATGTTACCAAGCGTCCACACTGTAAACAAGAGCAAAACATGGCTAAATGACACAATAGCTTTGACTAATTAAAATTAATGACAACACTTTAAATTTGTTAAATGAAGGTTAAAACTGCCACAAAAAATGCCTTCCTTGTAAATAAATTGTCCATGTATTTTGGATGGAATTCTTTTGTGTTGATGACGTAGAGGTATTACATTTTAGACCTCTGTACTTTATTTTCTACATTTTTCTTCATTTCCCTACTTTTATTTCCCACAAACTGCCACTTAATTTATGTAAATCTATAATAAATATTAACCACAGGTATTATCCCACCAAACCAAGTCCGAATTTGAAAATGTCAAAGAAATGTCTTCTATCAGGAGACAGAGGTGGAGTGGTGGTATAAATACAGTAGGATAATGAATCATGTCACTAATAGAAATTTGTGAATTTTCCTTTTGAAGAATTTTCATGAAAATACCAGAGAATAATACAGGACACAGACTCCTGCTCTGTCCAGTCCTGAACAGCAAACAAACCAACAGCTCCACTTCCTGCTATTGTAAATTATATATAATAATAATTAATAATAATAATAATTAATAATAATCTTACCATTATATCCGGCCATGGCAGCCTCCAGTTGTAAACTGTGCCAGTCTAATAATCTGCAAGCAATGTTTTTACTGTAAAGAAAGACAAAACCTCACAAAACAATTTCTTTAAAATCAAGAACCTGCTGTTTATCTCTAAAGGTGCTATGTATGTATGTATTTATTTTATTTATTAACTTTTATTTAATCAGGTGAAAATCCCAGTGAGATTGAAAACACTTTTTCAAGGGTGACTTCAGCTAAAGTGAGACTGCAGCACACATTATGAAAAAACATTTACACATTTGTATTAAAACAGGAACAGTATAAATGATTTTAAAAGGACTCCTGTTTTGTTTTTCTAGGACACATAGTACGCCAGTTATTCACCCTTTAACTGTTTTTATAATTGTCATTTGCACCACTCTGTTTAATTAAACTTTATTTATGGTTACACACAAATATATATTAATAAATAAATTGCCTACAAGCAGTTTTTAGATATAATTATAGTAAATTTCAAACTTACTTCAGACCAGAAGACGCTGCTTTCCTCTCAGCTCTCGTCAAATTGAAAGTATCTGAGTGGTTTGATTCTGTGAACTGGTCTGTCTGGATTTCATTTTTTGTGACGCACTTTAATCACCAGGTCAAGACAAGGACAAGTTTAATGCCTCAAAAAGCACTGATGCTCTTCCATGAATGTTTGAATATCCCCATTATTTTAATGTGCTATAAATGAAATGGAGTTATTGGCTCCCACTCACATCTGACATAAAACAGAACCTAACTTATCTCTCACTAAGGAGACAAGACAGTGACACCACCAGGTCAAAGTACAGGTCTGCTCTGTGGGGAAGCGAGCCCTCACACCATAAGAACGCAGGTTTTTCAAGGTATTTCTGAGCAGTGAAAACATATGTAATTGAATAAAAGCAAGATAGATCAGTTTAATGTTCTAATGTGGAACATACTTGGCAAAACAGGCGCCACACTTGAATTACTATAATAAAGTGAAGTGATTGTAGAAGGAGGCAGAGCTTTCAGACATTCAAACATGTGAATATAAAGCACAGAGTTGTGGAGTTTCTCTGATAAACAGACTGAATATTTCTAGTTCTAAAGTCAAACACAAGTGGAGTTATTGGGCCAAACCCTTCACCTGAGATTTGGAGATAATCAAACTGGAACAGAATGTAATTAAACAGGTTCAGTGAGGAGGTCTGGGATGTTTTTTTTAATCTTTATTTCCTCGTGCAGGTGGGGCAGGGGGTAACTACTCTGGTCATGACTTGACTTCTGATGATGAGATTCTGTTGGTCTGTAGTTTAATGCACAGCACCACGTTCCTGTAGAATCCTGAAAAGTGGGACATTTATCAGACAAACAAAGGACACGCTGGATTGTCACAATATTAAAATTTCTCATACAGTGGAAAAGGCTGATAGTAGTTTCCATACGGCAATGATAATAATAAATTCTATTGGAATGTAACCAAATGATGCAATCTCTCCCTGAAATTAAGTCACTGATGTTCATGAGTGACCTGTAGTGTAGAGTTGGTTTTATTGGTTGGTTAATTGTTTATAATTGTGTATTTATTAACAGAAAAGGTGCCTTTGAGTTAAAGACTGTTCTCACCTGTCTATTTTACCTATTGGCTCTATTCATTCTTACTGGAAGAGGTTTGGAAACAGATGATGACTTCCGGGGCAGTTACAGACACTGAACATGTGATAAAAATATGGATTCAGCAGAAGCGTCTTCACAACCTGACAAAGCTTTTCAATCGCATCAATGTCACTTACAGGCAGCTGGTTGGAACTGCAGAACATAACAGAAAACAGTTCCCGACAAATATGTGCACATAAAACCTGAACTATTTACAAGTTCAGTTTTTTAGATGCCAACATGTTGAATATTAGACTGCATCTGGGTTAGCATTAGTATGATAAAAAAAACCTTCAGCATAATAATAAAACTTAAAAAATGTAAACTAATGCATACTGTACTATGTTGTTACAGTTTCACAGCTGCCATATATAAAGTGAAATCTACACTCATCCTGGTGTCAAATGTAGTTAATATGATGAAGTGAGATTCAGGAGCAGGACCAGGCCTCAGCCGTCCTCTCCTCTCACCAGAAAACCACAACTCACCTCCACCACGCCTCCAATTTCCCATCATCCCAGTTTGTCTCAGCGAACTCGACCCCACCCTCCCTCCCCCTATTTAGTCTTTCAGTCATAAGACGCCTATGAGGGGCTCCTGTTCCAGATGGACCAATTATAGATTGAGACGAAGCCCCCACCCAGAGTCTCAACCAGCCACCTCTGCCCCCCCTCGTACATTATCAATAAACTTCTTCACACTATGTCGTGTTGGCGTGGTCCTAGTGACTTATTGTGTGGAGGTGTTTAACTCCTGGAGAGTAGAAACAGGATTCTACGAGGCCGTACAGACATTAATATTCACTATGAATATTTCCACGTGGCATTAAACTGGTGATGACATTCTCAAATGATTCAGGTTCAATTTAGTCCTATATGTGTAATATTTTCAATACCTCAAAATACTTCATATTAGTTGTTTCGTTACTAGTTTTAGTATTTGTGGTTTGTGATGTGATGATGTCATAATTCCAGATCAAATCAAATTAAATCAAACTTTATTTATAAAGTGTGTTTCATACAAAAAATTTAACACAAAGTGCTTTACAATCAGTAAAAAAACACCCAACCCCACAACTGCCAGCAACCACACAACCAAACAAGACACACACACACACACACATCACACACACACACACACACACACACACACATCACACACACACACACACACACACACACACACACACACACACACACACATACACACACACACACACACACACACACACACACACACACACACACACACATACACACACACACACACACACACACATACACACACACACACAACACACACACACACACACACACACACACACACACACACACACACACACACACACACACACACACACACACACACACACACACACAGACTAAGAAGCTATAATACATATGATTAGATTGAGATAAATGAGGCTGAGGAGCCACTTGTGCCAGGGAGAAATGAAACACCCGCCCTCCACCAGGACACAGAGCCCAGGGGAGAGATGAGACCCCAGCCTCCAGCAGCTGCAGCCGACCACTGCTCCCAGCACAGAGGAAACACTGGAGACCCTAAAAGTGATAAGTGAGTTAAAAGTTAATAACTATACACAAATACACACATAATATATGTATATATAATATACATCAATAAATATACTGAATACATGTGATAATAAACAAATAGAACAATCAATATTAATCAAAAGATGAGCTGAAAAGGTGGATCTGGAACCTGCTCTTAAAAACATGAACACTGTCATCAGACACAGGTGTCACAGGCGCTAGAAGAGAAATGTATTTTCGGGCGAATGTGTGAATGAACACAGGCCAATGTAAACAACACGACGCCATCTTGGGTTCACCTTCAGATCTGATTATAATTCCATTCAATTTATTCAGAAAAAATATGACAATTAGAAAAATAAAGTTGTTTAACACTCATAATGTCACTACAGCAACATTTATCTGACAGTATTACATCAAACCTAGAATGATGATTAAACAATATGAGCACACAGCCAAACTGAATATTCATCATTACAGTTGTTTTCAGTGGAATCAACAAAGTCTCATCAGATTCATAAGTGAAACAAATCAATTTCATCTAAAATCAAGACTAGTAACGTTCCAAATGTTACACTTTGTTGACCCAAATAGCAGTTTGTCAGGATTTTTGTGATGTCAACAAAAATCTAACGGGAAATATTTATGAGTACAATTATGCCGCCATTTTGTTTGTCATTATAATAGTGAAGCGTTTTCCTTTACCTGCAGACTCTGTCGTTCATTTTTTCTTCCTAAATCTCATTTATACTTGATATTTATGTGTGTGTGGTGCAGTCAGTTTGAATATTTCAGAATACACAAATGTATTGCAGCTTCCATAAAGAGAAAATATGAAGAATCTATGAAAAGAAACAAGTCACAAGAGTATTTAGAGCACAGCAACACATCAGGAAATACTTGCATCTAAACTCGTGACGTTTCATGTTCCACAAGTGAAGTTGTTGATACACCTGACCACATTCTTACATGTTTTAATTCACAATCTAAGACACATTTTTGTCACTCTCCATTTTGTCATTAAACCAGACTTGATTTCAATATAATAAGGACAATGTTATTGAAATTGTCATTTTCAGCAGAAAATAATCGTGTGTTATGTAAATAAATACATGAATAAAATGATCTGTATGTAGTTTTGATATTAGCTTTAGTATCAGTTTCTGTGTATTGTTTGTTTTATTTTTTTGTTCTCCTGATGAGACATGAGCTGCACTGCTGTGTTTTCTGTGTTTTTCTGGACGCTTTCTGTTGAAGATTTATAAAATGATCCATATCTGTCTCCATCAGCATTTTAAACTCATTTCACTGCTTAACTACATTTTCTGGATTTCTGTTCTTGTCATTTTTATTTTCTCAAATGTCTCTTTTACCCATTGTTTCCTTTTTTCTTGTTCTGTTCAAGTTGCAACATTTTCTGTTCTTAAACTTCTATTTCCTGTTTATATTTAGTCTTAACCTCCTCCTTTTCCCTTTTCATCTGTTAAAATGTGAGTTACTGTAGGGAGGAACATCACTGGAACAAATTAAATTGAGTATGAGCTTGATAATGTATTTATTTAGATAAAACAACAACAAATGTGCACAGTAACAAGGGTTTAAATATAGTTAATATAATAATCATTCAAATACAGCTGCACCAACAACAGCAGATCAGGTCCCCTCCAGTCATGTTCTGATTGGTCCCAGTTCAAACACCAGTGTTTCCCATGGATTTGGTTGAAGATTATTGTTGCAAAAAAATTGTTTTATTTGAACAATTTAATCTTATTCAATTTGAGGAGTAGAAATATCACTTACTGCCCATTTTTAATCTTTAAGTCATTTTTGACCAGTGTCGTCTTTTTTTTATTATAAGTTTATGATAATACAATAAGCAACAAATCAAATTTTTTATGCCATAATCCAAGTTGTTTCAGGAAGTAGAGTTTCCCCATGTCTTTACGTACACAGCATTACTGTTGTCCACATGGAAACCTGTCTCCCCCTCCTTTTCTCTCTCCTCATTTTCTCTCTCCATCATTTTCCTTTCTCTCTCCATCATTTTCCTTTCTCTCTCCATCATTTCTCTCTCCATCATTTCCATTTCTCTCTCCATCATTTTCCTTTCTCTCTCCATCATTTCCCTTTCTCTCTCCATCATTTTCCTTTCTCTCTCCATCTCTCTCCTTTCCCTTCTCTCTCATCATTTCCTTTCTCTCTCCATCATTTTCCTTTCTCTCTCCATCTCTCTCTCCATCATTTTCCTTTCTCTCCATTTCTCTCTCCATCATTTCCATTTCTCTCTCCATCATTTTCCTTTCTCTCTCCATCATTTCCATTTCTCTCTCCATCATTTTCCTTTCTCTCTCCATCATTTTCCTTTCTCTCTCCATCATTTTCCTTTCTCTCTCCATCATTTCCCTTTCTCTCTCCATTTCTCTCGCCATCATTTTCCTTTCTCTATTCATCTCCTCCCTTTCTTTCTCCCTCTTCTCCTTTCTTTCTTCCTCTCCCTCCTTTCTCTCCTCCTCTTCTCCCTTTCTCTCCTCCTCACCTCCTTTTTTCTCCTCCTCTTCTGATTTTCTCTCTCCCTCTCCTCTCATTTCCTCCCTTTTGCTCTCCCTGTTTCTTTCTTCCTCCCTCTGCTCAAATTTCCTCTCCATTTTCTCCATTTTTCTCTTCATCTCCTTAGTTTTTCTCTCCATCTCTCTCATTCTATCCGCCTCAGCCTTTGGTAACATGTCGTTGGTGTAACAGTCTTCTCCTCTGTTCTTCTTCACCATTTCATCGATCTTCTTCAGCAGCTCTTCGACCTGAGTGCGGTTTTTCATGTCACAGTTGTTAAACACATGAAACCTGTTTCCACATCCTTCGAGCAGCTGATTAAAGGTATCGTTATATTCTTTAATAAATTCCTCTATAGTCGTCTTTGAACGCTCCAGATGATCTCCGTGTGTGAACAGAATGATCATAAACTTTACTACTCCTTCACCAAATGCTTTTTTGATCAGTTCTACAGCATTTCTTTCTTCTTGTGTGAATCTTCCTAACTGAAGCACCAACAGAAAGACGTGTGGCCCTGGATCCAGCAAACTCACACATTTGAACCTTTCCACATCAACTTCATCGTGTGTCATGTTTGTATCGAACAGTCCAGGAGTGTCCACCACAGCAACACGACGTCCATCAAATGTAGTTTCTTCTTTCTGACAAACTTTGGTGACTGGGAGTTGACTTGGTTTTGTTGTAAATGTCTTTCTTCCCAAAATGGTGTTTCCTGAGGAGCTCTTTCCACTGCCAGTTTTACCGATCAAAGTGATCCTCAAACCTGCAAAACACAACACATTTTACAGACTTCTGCACATCACACACCTGTTCTGAAGTAGAAATATAATTTGGAAACTTTTGGAAATTTGGAAATTTGATAAACTTAACCAAAGTCAGACCTGTGTCTTCCTCCTCAGAGAAGTCAAGAGTAGGATGATCTCCATTGTTCTCTTTCAACATGTCATAAATTCTTGAGAACAGCTTTTCACTTTTAAACTGTTTCATCCACAGATATCTGTCTCTACATCTGCTGATCATGTCCTTTATATGTGCCTCTCTCATGTAATCATCTGGCTTTTTCTTGACCTGAAGTGTTTTTTATCATCATCAGTGAATGGTTGAAGACCCTGTTCACTGAAGCTCCAGGACTGACTGTAGTCGGCTTTTGTGTTTCTCAGTGAAGTCTTCAGGTTTTCATGAACTGCTTCTCAGTGAATGAATAAGAGAGACAAAAGTTTTCTTTAGCTCAGTGAAAACTCCACTGTTCACTGTTTACTGTCCAGCTCAGTGTTGATGTCCTCCACAGCTTCTGTTAGTGTCACTGTTGTTGAACTTCTGCTTCTAAACCCAAACAGACTCTCATTCATTATTTCATGTTTATCTAAAAACGATCCCAATCTATTGTTGTATATATTTTTATTATATTATTATTTTTATTTATATATTTTTATAGTTCTTTATAAAACTACACTAATTACACTATTCACCTCATTTTCTTTTTATTTTAATTTATTTATTTTTTTTACTATTCCAAGCAGTTTATTATATAATAATTTTAAGATAAGATATGCCTTTATTAGTCCCACAGTAGGGAAATTCCAGTGTTGCAACGCGCAATTCAAGAACAGCAGGAAAATGGTAACATGCAATAAAACAGATGATAGATAAGAAACAGATTTTCTACTGGTTCTTATAATATCTCTCAACCTCCTCTTAAATAATTTCTGAATCCTTCGTTTTCAGTTTTATAAATCGTCTGTGAACATAAACGTCAACACTGTGGTTCTTTTTAACTCTTTTCCCCATAAAGTAAAAATTCTGCTCTGTTATATCACAGATCATTGGGCTCTATTATTATTGTCCATGATGTTAGTGAATATGTTGTCAATACACACATCATGAATTTCAGACTGCCGGTCATTGTGCAATTCATACTGAGAAGGATTTTCTGAAAAAGTGAACATCAAACCTCCATGTTTGTTTTCCCAGTGGGATGTGTCTATTGACAAAGTCGATCTTTTCAAGTCTTTTGAACCATATCATATTTTACTTTTAGGTTTCAGACATCGTTATTTGTGTGGTTGTTGGATCCAAACAGCGGAAAACGACTCGAGAAATGTGTTTGTGAACTTCATAAAAATGCAAAAGTGA